TGTCGTTTTGCTTTGTCTAGTCAAATTTGCACCACTTTATCATTTCACAGGCGGATCTTTGAGCTTATGGGCTACTAGCCACACTTCTCCATTGACTATTTACTCTCCAAATTCTAACATTTTATTTATTTATTTATTTAAATTTTCTATTTTCATAAGATGGGAGACAAACATTAATTTTTGAAGCATTATATTTTTAAGCACTACTTATTCTTGTTCTCTTGCATTTTTTTTCTTATATAATTAGTGAGCATGTAATTAGACAGCATGCCAAATGTATATAATTTCACTCCTATAAAAGTAAAATTCTACAAAAGTTATAAATAAGTCTTTACAAAATTCTAACAATAACTAAAACTTTTTACAAAATTTAGCTTTTAGATAATTGATTTTTGTCCAATATATCATGTCCAAATATTTGAAATCCCCTATTTTTTTTTCAAGCTATGTAAAAAATTCTTAAAAACACTCTCTAAATAATTGAATCGATCATGCAAAGTGACCAAAATACAACATTTTTTTGACAATCAATATATTTATACTAATGAGGTCTTGACCTAATGGTACAGTTAAGGCTAAAGTAGTAAAGTCTTAGTACGATGTATATAAATAACATAATATACATTTTTTTTTTCTTTGAACAAATTAAAATAATATACTCAACTCAAATTCCACTATATTGTCAATCTCAAAAGCATTCGACCAACATTTTTTTTTTCATAGATAAATATATTCTTTTAAAATACAACTCCCTATAATAAATTGAATTTATGCCAATTATTGATTCAAGATTCCAATGGTCCAAAGTTTAAAGTCAACAAAATTCTAGCTTTGCATGCACACAATCAAAGATGATATATAGAGGTTCTAAATAAAAACTAGCAACATGAAATCAGTCCATACTCTAAATTCTATAGCCAAGCCCCGGGTTCGAGCCTCGAGAGCTTCATCTTCATAAATATTTATTGACAAACTAATATATTGCTTAAATTATCGTAGCTATGCCTGTCAAACAAAGTTATAGACGCACCAAAAATGGCAAAACAACACTAGATCGATGTAAAAATTTAATTGGCAAGTAAAAAAAATTTGGGCGTGAGAAAGGGCACGAAGTTTGGCCTTATACAAAGACGTGAAGTGACCATTACTTGTCATATTATTCCCATACTTTTTCCAACATTCTCTCTTTGTAATCATATATTCACATGACATTTGGCCTTAACTTTACAATAAGGCTTTCTTAGTGTTTTTCTGATAAGTAAATATGTTCATCATTTGATAAAGATTGTGAGCATATAACCATATACATACAAACTTCGTATCATATATTTTTCATTCATCACTTTAATTTTTATGTCCCTGCAATATAATTATTGCTCGATACATAAAACGATCATTGTCTTGTTGATATTCATGTACATTATACATTATATGGCTGTGATCGATTCAAGGTTTAAACTTTATTTTTCTTTAAATTTCGATATTGATCGATTGGAAATAATGAGACATGGACATTAGTGCTTATCAAGTTGACAAGAAAGAGAGAGGACAAATACTGAATCTTAATTAGCATAGGACATGAGTCGCAGGTGGACCGTGGACATGTACATGAGGTATGCTATTTAAAAGAGGTGCAACCCATGAACCTAGATATATATATCCTCAACTCGATCTAGCCATATATACATGTATATCATGTATGTTGTCGTTATCCAAATTAAATCATTGATCGTATTATCGTATATATGTAGTCTAGAGGGTCTTAGTGACCATGTACACCATCTTGTGTGCACCCCTTTAGTTGCATTGGTGTTGTACGTGCCTGTGATCCGTGTTATGACGTGACATCTTAAAATTATTATTCTCAGTTCTCTCATGTACATGGTATACATATTGTATAAGCTAGCGAATCAATAGTTGTAATACACTCCAACACTAGTAAATAGAATAGATATATAGGGAATTTATTTTCACGTTTATCCCACTAAATAAAATGGTTACTGTTCTCCCCCTTAAATTATGTGAATTGCTAAACACCGCCAACAAAAATGATCACCACCGCCAACATTCGATGTGAATGGACAATCGTACCCTTATTACTTCACCACCCCTTATCCTCCCGGCGACCCACAATCCCTTCCGATCGGCAAAGATCACCACCACCCTGATCGGCGACCTACCATACCCTCCTCTATGACGACCCACGACCTTCCCTCGCCGGCGAGAAGATGGTGGTTTAAAATATATATTTTTTATTTCAAGCAACCGCAGTAACCGGAGCCCAAAATCGGTTACCGTGCGCGATAATCGGACGCCCAAAACCGGTTTTGGGCTCCGGTTACCGTGCACCTTAACCGATTCCATGGTAACCAGAGCCCAAAACCGGTTATCGTGCCCGGTAACCGGTTTTGAGCTCTGGTTGGTACGATTGTCAAAAAAAAAACCACCATCTTTGAGGGGGATGTGGTGGGTCGCCGGTCAGAGTGGTGGTGGTGGTCAACGCCGGTCAAGGTGGTTTTGGTGGTGGGGTCATCGTCGCCGATCAGCGTGGTGGTGGTGTTAGTCGTCAATTGGCCTGGGGTGGTGGTGTCAAGGTGTTAATGATTGGTGGCAAGAGGGAAGATAGTGGTGACGTACTAAGGGTATGGTTGTCAGTTCACACTAAATGTTGGCGGTTTTGATCACTTTGAATGGCGGTATTTAACACCCCTAAATTATATGTACTACATGTACTTCAATTTATTGTGGGGGTCGAAAGTTCAAATGCACAGTGAGAAATTTGGTAAGAATAGTGAGACCATTCAAATCAAGCAATTAAAGTCATATAATTAAACCAATCTTTAAGAAGACTAATAGGAGTCCACGTAAGTCTGACTAGAGGATGACAATTATCAACATGATTAGGAATTATGAGACAGAAAGTCTATAAGATAACACTTCATATATTTTAACATTCTAAACAGTAGAACTATTGAGAACCAAGGTTGAAACTTGTTACAATTAAATCTTATCCTATATCCATCTCATTAAATAGGTGAACACATTCACATAAGAGTGCAATTTATTTATTTTTTCAATTTTTTATATTACACGGATAGTCTCATTCAACTTATAACACGATCGTAACAGTTACTATATAATTTTAGGCAAAGTTATATATGCCGAGGTGGATCCTTAGCATCGAGGTTGCTTACACTACAAAAATCCGTGCTTTTAATGACCGTTAAATTTAGTCAGTAACATTCAAATATGTGTCCTAAATCTTATGCAACACGAGCTCTAGAAGCAAGATTATGAAGCAAGTTTTCTTTGATGCGAAAGTACAAATCTAATTAAAAGTATTAATAAAAACAAAAAAAAGAGTTGTAATACTACAAGTAAAATTTACAAAAGTGATAGTTACGCGGTTTACGCCTGATTACCTCAAGACAAATAAAACATTCCGCATTCCTAATTTTGTATTTTTCCATCAATCAAGAAAATTTTATAATCTTTGTGATTACTACTTACAAAAAAGTACAATGAATTTGACTCAAACTTTAAGAAGTTTAAAGTACCCCTAAAAATCTACTGTTAGGTGCAAACCAAATCAAATATTATTAATGAAAAAACAATGGTTTAAGTTACACTTTTAATTAACATCATTAACAATATACTCAAAGAACCGCCATCTTTTAAACCTACTCCCTCTATAACAAAGATACTCATATAGTAGTATACTTGACATGACACGAAGAGAAATTAATGCAAATAATCGAATGTATTTGTGTTAATGTACGGGATTGTATAGTTCCTATCAATAGAGAATCGAGAAATGGTTGGGTGGCAAATGGCAAGCCGAAAGCCTTACATCTTTTGCCGACTGAGCACGGTTTGATACCTGAGATTGTTAGAATGGCCCAGGACTAGGCCCATGTGTGCCGTTCTAAACAAAAAGAAATGATAATGATAATTTATATATTAACGACCATGAAAACTACACGTAGAAAAATATTATACAAAGTATAATATTCTCTCGTTAGGTTAAAGTGGGTAGTTAGTATTTTTAATCAAAAAAATTTATCTGATAAATAGAAATAATAACACATCATCTTTTAGACCCACAAAATCCACCGCCCACCTTCATTCTCCCAGGAAAATAGGCCCATAATTTCCGTTATAAAGGGCCCATTATAAATTATATATTAAAATTATTACAATTGTTATTATTACTATTTCTTACCAAATTTTTTTATACTATAAAATTTAAATTTTAGTATATGGTTTATATTTTTTTTTTTGTTATTTCTTACCAAATTTAGTGGTCACAAGATTAAAAATAAAAAATTTATATAATATGGTTTAAAAAAATATAAATGTGAAAATGGCAGTTCCAGTTTTGGTAGTTGAAGACTGGGGACAGATTAACACTAAACATGGAAAAAATTTGTTTCTAGAAAAAAGGCCCACCAAATCGTTGGTGTGATGCTTATGTAATTGATGGCTAAATTCGTGAAAACCACTTTTATTTTATGATATGACTTTCCCATTAACAATACTCCTGAAACAGTTGAACATGCCTTTGTTTGCCATCAATTTCTCCTCTAGTTAGGCTTTTAGCATTTAGCATTTGTTTCAACATAGTATTGGTCCGCCCATTTTCGTTTTCACTACTACTTGGATGGACAATATTCATTGTGTAGATTGCGTTGTACGATTCGCTTTCCTCGTAAAGTTTGTTTAAAGACTGAAGAGCATCAATATGTGAGTCGCGGGGAACCTGTAATATGATTGTTGTGAATCGTTAATTATAAGAGGTTAGGACAATGAGTTCGGAACTGGTTTGATCACTGATTAGGCCTTAAAACATGGCTATTGTGTATGTCTATCCAAGAACAAGAATCCGAAGATAGGGAGAGAATGTCTGCATCCTTAGATAAGACTGTAATAGGGTATCAACTAGAAAGGATTTGTATCTGTAACCTGTACTGGGATGTGATGCTCAATATTATTGGGAATAGTTTGTTTCAGAAAGATGCAAAAAGGAATATAATGAACCAATATATATTTTTTTCAATTATTCTGGTGTGATCAAAGTATTCTGTACATCAACTTGAACTGACAAAAAAACATGCTGCCTTAACCTCTGCAGAAATCTGAAAACCTCTGAAGCATACAATACATCCTTCCCCTCCTCTCCCTCGAATCTGGTTCTGATTTTCAATTACACGTTTGATTGGGATCCAATTGCTTAGTACCAGCTTTCCCAGTGTAGTCTGAAGGCGTGCCATCATTTTCAAAAATCACAAGCATACTACCCTCCACGACTCCTGAGTATCTCACCTTGTTTATATAGGGCATAATTACAAACTCCTTAAAGTATCCACCCGGTCAATAACATCCAACGCTTTCATCCGGTCAATATCAAAATCAATAATTGGTACAGATGATGGTCGTCTTGTGGAGTAAATTTCTCTTTTAGTTTCTCTTGTGGGGGAATGGCTATTACTCTTGCTCAACCTTTGATGCTTACTCAAGCGAATTCTAGCAGTGTCAAACTCCTGGCTCTTACTAATACCTGGAGTAAGTTTCCTTCTAGTCACATCACATAGCATTTGCTGGTCTTCAATAGAGAGTGTAGGAGATGGACAGTTAGTCTTTTGGGGAGACAACTGCAGGGTCATTTGGTTGGGGGACCTCATCGGAGATTTGATAGGAGATCGTGTGCCACCATTTGAAGCAGACCTAGATTGGCTGATGAGATGGTGAAGCCACACCACTAGGTCTAGGATGTAAGCCTCGGTTTTATCTTTATTTGCGTGATATAGTGTCTCAATTCTGAGCAAGTCATTTTGGCCTGCTGGTTTTCGATTGACCTCCGAACTGAGAAACTTAAAAGAGTTTAGACAACTGTATTTTTATTTTATTGGAGATATCCAAGAATAAGAAACAGGAGTCTCAATATTCGACTTACCCGGTGTTTGCCCATTCACCAACCCAACCAAATCCATGATGTGCTCTACAAATTCATATTGCGGAAAACAAAGTTAGGATTATATTAGGACTAGTAAATTAGATGTCACAAGTCAGGACTTGTAAATTAGATGTCACAAGTCTTCTTGAAAATAATTTTATTGGTTAGAAACAATTAGTATTATTAGGTGATTTATTTGTACTTCAAAATCAATTTATTATTTTTCACGCTAAAATAACCAACAGTTTAAACACATATTTTTTTTTAAAACAATATATATATAGATAAATAAAATATAAATTATTTTTAATCCTTGAAACTACAGCAGAATCACCGTGATTTTACTTTTTTTTTTTTTTTTTTTTTTTTAACGACGAAAGGTGGGGAGGCTAGGGGAGTAATGCAGATATGAAGGGCTCACTTAGTTGTGTTTGTAGCAATAGGAACAAGCCAATGCAGCGTCTTCTCCATTTCGGCTTTAATTTGTTGGACTGTAAGCTGCAAGAGATAGAAAATATTAAACAACATAAAATCAAGCAAAGAATAACTAGACCAATATTCAGCTGTACTGACTTTCAAGGTTGTAGAACCAATTGCGCAAATGACAACATAAGTAAGCTGCTATAGTTGTATCCTAGTCCATATGGGTGGCAATTGATCAACTTCTCATATCGAAGGAAATTATGCTCTAAAAAGTGAAAAATGAACTAAACAAGATTGTGGCTGCTTATCATCTGCTCGGTTCATGCTTTTTGAACAAAATTATCAAAGGAAATTATGCTCTAAAAAGTGGAAAATGAGCTTTGGGTAGTGTTTCTAGTGCACAAAATCTTGATATCCCAACAAAGAGTACATCCATAATAAACTCTTTCATTACCATAACAATTCTCTGTGTTGAAGAATTGAAGATTTTCCACCAGAATAATTTTTTACAGAAAATATTTACTTTGTATTTTGGTAAAAGCTTGTAGGTTCACCAGCCTTCAACACATTGTACAAAATGAAGGCCTTCAACAGTTTATCAATTTTAATTGTTCTTGGAGAAAGTAAACTATATTGGGTGTGGATTTTCTAGAAAATGAAGACAGAAGAATGTCGTGGAGCAGGGTAGTAGACGAACACCCAATAATTTCCTTTTTGCTGTAAAAAATTATGCATCTGCACAGGTAGATTAGTTGCACCACAGTAGGGTAGTTAAAAACATACAGGGAAAGGGAATTAAGAGTGTAATACAACTGTCCTCTAACAAAGCACAGTACCTCTTCCTTGAGCTGAAATGCTTGCAACTTTGATCTTAAAGCTGATTTAATGCTAGGCGGCAATCCCTGGTATAAAGCGTCCCTTGTGTTCGGCGGTACAGAGTTTGAGCGAGAGAACTGTTTATGAAGATAATGTTAGAAAACTTGAAATGATCTATGAATATATACTTAAGACTTGAGGAGCAACCAGTTAAGAGAGGGGGGGAGGGGGGGGGGGGGACTCACAAGAGTATCTATTTGTGTAATAATATTTGCATAATGCAAGGCCAGGCCAGCTGACCCCAACTTTTGATGATTGTTTGAAGATGTCCTAACTGACTTATCTCCATCTGCAAGATTACATTGAAGCTCAATAGATCAGCATTTACTAATAAACCCATGTACTTTTTTGACAAATATAGATTAATTAATCTGTAAAAAAAGTGACCTCGTAAGCAAATCTCACTAAATACAAAATGAACTAGCTGTACTACTGAAGTTGCAATGCAAGACCCAAACCTAGGAAGGAAAAAGAAATCCAAAAAACGACAATGCTCTAGTCCCTAGACAAATTAAAAGCTAATATTGACTCAAAGTTTATGAAAACTTATGTTAACATACATGGTCGCGTTAACAATCCATTGTCATTATAATAAATTTTTTTATAATAACCTAGTTTAAATTGTCGCCTAAGATTTTGCATAGGCTTATAACAAGTATTAGTTATTGCATTGGCATTTAAAACTAACAAGTATTAGTACATTGGCATTTTAAACAAACAAATAATAGTGCATCGATATATAAAATGGCATATAATATAGAATGAAATAGGCAGTTGATTGAAGGGAGTAATAGTGCTGCTGACATCCACAGAAGTAGTAATTTGAGGTTTTTAAGTGAAGATCGTCAGTCCAAATTTACAAAAGTGTTGTGTAACTAGTGTTTATGTTTGTATTAATTTTTCACAATTAGAACAAAATGACAACGATAAAAGTGAACATAATCTTTCTTCTCTTTCCCTCCCCGTCCCCTCCCCCCCCCCCCCCCCCCCTCTCCTAATTTAAAAACAAAGAGAGAAGAAAATAGGTTTTTTTTTTTTTTTTGTTTTTTTTTTTCAGATTTCAAGATGGGGCTTTATGATTTCAGTATTATTTGTCATGGCTGATTGATTACAGTTAAGAATGAATGTATGTTTTTAACTTGATTATCTTTGATAATTTGATCCCATTCTAAGTTTCAAACCAATACAAAAATTGCACTCCTTTGTTGTTCTTTACTTTCAATTGCCACCCCAATTAAAAACGACCAGATCTGCCCTTATGCACAAAACAGGTGCTACACACAAAGGATCTTGAATCCACCTCATAACTAAAATTTTAAATCCATCCATTCTCTATTTGCCTAAAAAGCAAAAACTGTGGGGGGGGGCCTTCAGTACGAATGACCTGACTGAGGATAAAATGCAATTTAGGAGACTTTGTGATTGACTCTAAGTAACTTCTGCTCCATAAATCTACCATGTTCTATTAATCTTTCTTGCATTGGTTTCCCGCAGCACAATCACTTTATCAGGCTTGGCGAAGATAAGACCAGAGTATGAAAGTCTTTTAACAAGGTAACAAAGTGCACAGTTTAGAATTTGGATTCCCAACCAGGGATTGAGGATCAATTGCTGATCAATCCACTTTATTCGTATTAAGTGTCCAGGCAGGAATGTAAACGACATCTGAATGAGCTTTAAAATTACCAATACATACCAGCACTTCCAAAGGCTTCATGAATTTCCAAATGTAAAAAGTGAACTATGTCCACAAGCTTCTCCATCACCTACACAAATCAAGAGACAAACTCAATCAGACGAGCGAGCAGCACAAGTTACATTTTTCTGTTCTTCCATTTCTTTGGGAGGAGAGTAGGGGAAGGTGAGTAATTGGATGCTTTCATTCTTTTAATGCATTTATGCAAATCATAATGTATCAGAGAAGCAACTTATAATAAAACTAAACTACAAGAACCTGAAACTGAAACCCCCCAAAAAAGGAATAAACAGTATAAGTAACAAACATAATACTGTAATATCAAATTTGTCATCTTTGTACGTATTTTCATACAGCTCACAAATCACATAGGAGTGAAAATAACAGAGAAAGACAATGTTCACACGTGCTCACACAGAAAAAAAAAAAAAAAAAAAACACCTTCACTTATTTCCTCCACCCTTAATGATGGAATGAATCAAATCCTCATTCAAGCTACTAATGCCCAACCCTTAAATTTACTTCAAACACCTCATACAAAACACAAGAACATGATTTGAACACAACTAAACCCCTATAAAATAAATACTTGCTTGATCAACAAAACTTCAGTGTAATATAGCTTTACTAAGAGGGATCCAGAGACCAAGGTGACACTTGCAAGTTGAAGGCATTAAACCCAGGACACATGCATCAAGAAAGCATTATGTTGTATAAATCATAAGCTCTAACTGCTTACATCTTCCAGAATCCTAGACCAAAGCGATTTCTTTTTCAAACTTCTGACGTGCTTTCTTTGGCTCTTCAACTCTGCCCTTAAAATTGCCAGGCTGTCTCCTGCAAGAAATCAACACCGCAAATGACTTTCATGGACACTGAGCCTTACAGTAGACAAGAAAATTAATACTGAACTACTTTCAGATCACATGCATCATACAAAATATCCAGATATGACAGTGGTAACAGGCAAAAAGAAGGCAACATATTGAGAAGGATAAGGCACATCAATAAGCATCGAAATGATATATCAAAACAAATAATATGCAATATCCAGGACTCAAGCATCAGTATCAAATACAGGAATAGATCCCAGTATCTGATACAGTAATTTTAAAATCATAAGATACAGGGACACCACCCAACATTAGATATGCGTAAGGGGGTAGGACCATACATATTCCCTCCATCTCCAAATATAATTCTCATTTTACTTTTATCTATTTACTTAATCAAATCATTCAATCAACTTAACCCCACCATCTTCCTTTTTTAGTCACACTTAATCAACCAAACTCGACTATCTTATTATTTTATTCACCAAAGGGACTTTTATTAGGGGATGGACTATGGAGGGAGTAGTATCTAATTTTTAGACCATTAAGCAAATATTAAAACCTTTTGGGACTAAGGTTTTGTTGTTATTGTAAGAAAATATTAAAACCAACAGACTACAAAAGAAAGGAAAGGACATCCAAAATTTTTATTTTCTTAAAAAAAAAAAGTATGTTGTTTCCATGTTATATAGGGTAGAGGAATATAAAAATAATCAATCAAAGCCTTAATCTCATAAGCATGGTCGGCTACATCAACCAAAAGTGATTATTCCGTATAGTCATCCACAAAAATCTTCCTCCATCACTTTACGATCAAATACCTAATTCTCATGCAAATCCATTTGCTTCACTAGAGATGAATAACAATAATAATAAAATCAGCATTAAAATGGTCAGGTGCATGTAAGAGGAGAGAAGATTCGGAAATAGTCGTCGTCACTAAAGAAGACAATTGGCCGGAATGCTGGGCATGCCCATGGTGTTCAGCTAGCCATGGCCCATCCCATGCGTATATGACACAGCTTTTTAGTTTTTACTTCTTGCCTCCAAGTGGTAGATCCACCTGGGTTTAGATGTTTAATCTATAGATGTGATAGACCTGATAAATCAGACATGATTTTGATGGGAAAATCTGATAAGTTTCTCAGTTGTAATAGATCTTGATGGACAGACTAGAACCAGGGATTTTTCAGGTCCAGATAGCATGGAGGTTTCAAGCTAGCAAGGAATGCAAATGATATCTCAATTCTCAACTTGTATCATCATCCAGTGAACATAAACAGACCAGTTCTTACAGCCCCCCCCCCCCCCCGGGTCAAGATGTAGGTCTGGTATTATTTTTTTCCCAATGCTTACAGGAAGCCAGCAGGGGAAAACATAGGAGGCATATAGGTCATAAAACAATTAACAGCTGTTGAAATGCAATCTAACAATATTCGTAACAATCCAAAAAATCATCTTGCACAGCATCTTCTAAGTTCTACTAGGAGAACAGCATTGCACATGATTAACATACCACGTAAAAAAAAAATACTAAAAGTGTACAAACATCCACAATTGGAAAAAGGTTAAATTCATGAAATCAAACAAACTAATTGATAATACCTCTTTGAGCTGTGCTGGGGTTATCTTCCTCTTGTAGTTTCCGCCGATAATCTTGTTCAAATCTATCCAAAGCATGTGACTCATGATACAACTCCTGCATCAAGTTTAAGATAGATTGTAAAAGTAATAACTAAGAGCTTTTTTTCATAGGGTATTATTAGATTTAACAGGGTTTCACATGGTGGGATAGGAGATGAAAAAAGACTACATAAATTAAAGGTGAGTAGAAACTATGATAAAAACAGAAAGCGAGTAGAGCTCAGGATATCCGTAGTATAAGATAATCACTTATTTAACAACAAAGTAAGCCACTTCAAGCATTTACATAAGACAGTAGACACACTTCATGACTTTACTTAATCACTTATTTAACAACAAAGTAAGCCACTTCAAGCATTTACATAAGAAAGAACACAATATTTAACATCAGGACATACTAAATAATAATTCAAATTCCAATTAGACTGATACTTCATGACTTTACTTTGCACCATCAACATATCATAGGGCCATATAATGAGAGCTAACAGCAGATTATGCTTAATAATGACGATATTTTGTGATTTAAAAAATCTCTTTTTGACAGAAATCAACAGGATATTATAGACCTGTAAGCATATAGTTGCAATAAGAATTTGTTGATTGCAGAACTGTTCATTAGCAATTGCCTATACAAGAAGATCAGCACAAGGCAAATAAAGATCTAAACGTCCACAAAGTGATAAAAATGTCCCACATCCAAGGACAACCCTCCTTTTCCTTCTTAGCAAGCTGCAAGCTCAAAAATAGGTACAGGATGATCCTTCAACTTTCCATTAGGTTTTGAGCTTGAGAAAAGCAAGTTTTTTCTTATCCTAGGGAGATATTAGAATAACTTAAGATGGTGTAAAGTAAAGAGTAAAGAGAAAACTTGTTAGCAAGGAGAAAAGGACATGACATACAATAGGCTAGCATAAAAATTGAAAAGACCAATGGTCAATGCCATAATAAAGCAATCAGATCTAAAATTAAAGATCACTCACGGCAGTATTCTGAACCAATGTCATCAGAGTTTGCATTATTGTCTCAGCTTCTTCTTTCAGTTTTTGAGGAGTGAGTTCAGAAGCCAATCTGAGATGAACAGAAAGGTACATAATTATCTTGCATGTCAGATAATTATATAGATCACAAAAATAAAAGCAGTCAAAATAGCATTACTTCTCAAAATAACGATCCAAATTGTGATATTGAGGGTCTTTACAGCGATTTCCAAAGCGAATGACCTCCCCAGAAAATACTTTCAGTTCTTCCCTAAGAAATACATCGGTACACTAGTGTCATGCAAAAGCATATACAAAGAGCAGGTTCAAGAAACGAAGTTGATTGCATCAGAAACAACTAGCTGTTCTTAAAATACCTCTTGTCAGCTGCAGCAATCCTTTGGAGTTCATCAAAATCTTTGGATATTAAGCATTGCACGCCTTCGGAGCGAAGTACCACTTCCTTAAGGTGTTTAATGCTTTCCTTGGAAAGCGACTGCATAAGATTTGCACCCTTCACAATTGTGTTGGCGACTTCAAACGACAATATGGAAATCTTATTCCCTTTGGTCGTCACACTTGAGACAAAACCACCACTGAGATGCAAGCTTGTCATGCTACTACCAAGTGTGTCTAAAACTTCTACAGCTTTACCAAACCCAGCAGAGCCAGCTTTACCTAAACGGGAGCTCACCTCAGACACCTGTTCACCAAAAAGATATTTCTTTATTACCTCAACAACAAAACACTCAGCAGCTATTCCCTAGACCTTGACTTTTGATTACCCTTAAGTTCTAAACAGAATTTCTGGAGCACGGGATTCAAGCCATATATAATTGATGCAAAGATGTGTAACGCCATCATGTCAGATAGAAGTCAAACATACAAGACTAAGGAAAAAAATCAAAATCTTTTAAACAAAAACAGTATCCTTTTCTCCAAAATGACCACAGAAACATATAAGGATTCAGGGGTGCACCCAAAACTCTTCCAAGTGTACCCTTCATTATAGCCATCTATCAATCTACTTAAAGCCAGTTTGAGTTGTAAACAAGATTATTTTCACTCAAGAATTTATAAATCTAATCTAAATTCAGAAGTCAAATTTGCAGGCTACATGCAAGGGCACCAAACCATTAAACACCAAGGATTTTAATAAGAATTTGCCCTGTACATTTGCAAGCTAGCTTCCATGTGATTATTTCCCTAAATGGAGGTCTTGAGCCCGTAGCTTTCAGATTTAATTTTCAATTGTCAAGTAAGCAATTCCTGAAAACATGCATATAAATTAAATATTAAATAGTAAAGGTAAACAAAGGTTACACACTTGGTCTCACAAATTAGGTAGATGGATGGTGACAATCCTCACAAAGACTTCAAATTACTCGTAAACACAGGAAAAGTACAAACATTATATAAACACGTGATAGCATTTTAATAAGAATTTGCCCTGTACATTTAGTCAAATACTCTTTATCAGAAATTCAAGATAACTGTAATGTTTCCTCCATCATTCAAGATAGTTCAAGAACATAAACTAGATATTTACAATAGTGATCGATATATGTAACAGACGTGCAAATCTCATATCTGGAGTGGTATGAAAGATGAATGCAGCGGTGCAGCCTTCAGCAGGTGTTTATAGGCTATGTTATAATGACGTCAAATGGATATCTTTAAAGTATATTATGTACATATAAAAGCTAAAAAGTTCAGATAAGAAACCGAAAGTTCAACTCACAAATTGAGAACAATTTCCAGATAACAAGGTCATGTCAGATCTATTAGTTCAATTCAGACAAGTAGTGGGTTTCAGCTGAAAAGAGCACATCCTTATTGCCCTAACTTTAGTACACTACAACCTTGCTCTTCAGGTGAAAAGAGCACAGCCAAAATATATCATGTAGTCGTCAACCAAGACCCTCCCCTTCTATCAAGTGCTATATGCTCTCCTATAAGGCCAACTTCTTCATAACATTCCTAGCTCCCTCCATCCAAGTTTGTTGCACTAAATTTTATGTTCCACATCATAGTTAGGTAAACATCATTGAAGGAGAGTAGGCAGGCATAAGGGACAGTAGAGCAATTGATTAAAAAATTTAAAATCATGCCATAATACCAATGAACAAACATTTAAAAAAAAAAAAAATTAAGATAAAAAAAATAGCAATTTCCACAAGGAGCAAACTCTATCTTCCTACTGCTTTCCTATTTAACAAAATGAATGTTATTGTGCTGAAGCAGTCTTCCAAATATGTCTGTACCTACCAGAGTTTCTCTGCTACAATGTTCTCTTACATTGAAGCAAGTTTATAAATTGAGATGAAGATGAGTGATGAAATATACTATATTGTACAGATAAACTCAAGGTGGAATAATTATGATATATGAGTGGATGCATCAATGTTACTCATACATTAGCAGGAAAAAAAACAGCATAATAACCTTCAAAACATGCTATTATAACACATGATAGGAATTCACCTTTGCAACAGCAACCTGTTTGGACTTGGTTGACCTAGACTTATGTGATAAAACCCTAGAAAACCGCGGAATTCCATCATCATTTGCATCCGTATACGTCCCATTAGAGTTCTCATTGATCCCATTAGCATTAGCATCCATCTGTGGAAACGAAAAGTCTTCCCGTGTATGCTTATCAACATTTTCCTCGCCATTAGGAGGCATTGATACACTGTTATCTTTACCAGGCAATGCATGAGAGTCCAAAACCAATCCAGCACCGTAGTTGCTACCACCATTTTGCGAATAACCACTACTCGGAACATTATCAACGGTAGCCTTCTTCGAGCATATTCCACCCATTTTATTCACATAAAACTAAAAACTACACTCTAATTTCTATACATCCCTTTGCATAAAACCTCCACCAAATTTCACCACAATCAAGATTATAACACCAATTTCAGCAGCAAAAACTTGAACCCACAACACTGATCTACCACAATACTCTCAATAATGATTCACCCACAAAAATCCAGTTGTCCAAAGCTGCAAATCATAAAACGAACAATACCCATTTAATTAAAATACCATTTTTACCCGATCAAAACCCCAAATTAGAAAATAAAAAAGCATAGAAACCGAACTAATTAAGCACACTATAGTTCATAAACTAATAAAACCTTAAACCCCATTTCAGCAAGCAGGAAAAGGGAGCTAAACTAAACTAAAAATTCAACCCCCCCAAAAAAAAGGCAGTAAATTGATATTAATAACATACGGAAAGGGAGAAAGGAAAGATACCCAGAAAAGTAGAGAGTGTGGATCTGAGTGAGAACGCCAAGAAATTCTAAAATTTTGATATTCCAAGAAAGATAGTGAGTAAAAGAAACGGCGAAGAAATTGATGGGGGTGCAATGGATGATGATGAAGACAATGATTGTAAAGAGAGTAGTACGAACAGTAAGAACATAAAGATGAAAACTTTGATTAAGAAGAAAATTATTACAATGAAAATGGAGATTAACACGGCCCCCAAGCCCAGGTCACACGGTCTGCAAGGAGGCGCACTTTTCTGATTCTCTCTCTAAAAACTTTCTCTATCTAGAAATTCTGGTGCCTAAACAAAAAGCAAAGCAAAGCAAGCAAAGGAAGGAAGGAGAGAGAGACTGAGAGAAGGGGTGAGAGAGAGAGTCAAACAGCAAACCCAAAAATTTGAGCAATTCCACTGTATATTCATCACTTTTTCGTGAAACTATGGTTAAGCTTTTCTTCCTTTTCCTACTCGCACTTCTTGGATCGTGTCGTTTAACCAATTAACCCCCTCTTAACCTCTTTTGATTGTAGTAATCCCTAGCAGAACCTTCGACTTATTTGGATCATAGTAAAGTGTAGAGTTGTACACTAGATGCAATATTGCACTTTGCTATGATCCAAATACTTCGAGATATGGAAGAATCGTAATTTTAAGAGGGAGAAGTATAAGTTTAAATGTCTGTATGAATGTTTGAACAATAGAAAATGTGAAACAATTTATTTCTAAAAGAAAGGATATGGAATTTACATATTGGTTTATTGTAGCTTTTCTTTTCTCACAAGTGGACAAGTTGGGAATTGTTCAACTTGTATGAATGTTTGAATAATAGAACATGTGAAACAATTTATTTATGAAATGATGGATATGGACTTTACATATTGATTGATTTATTGTGGGTTTTTTTTCTCACGAATGAACAAGTTAGAAATTATTCAACCCTAATCTATGGGTAATGTCATTTTCTTGTCTGTTTTTAATCTTTGTCATATTTTAGATGCAATAGTCAATAAAGTATGTGAATTTCGTTTTTTTTTTTCTTTTAGCCTTGCTAATAAATAATGTTAGTTGAATAGACTAATGCTAAGTAACTATCTAGTTCTACATAGACCTCTCATCGTTACCATGTAAATAGGTAGGTTAGTTCAAATTGAAATTCATAGCCTAATCAAGAAGCTCAAGTCAATACACTTTGGAATCTTCTATTAAATCATATCAATCCAAAGGTTACTTACAAAAGTTCGGTTCATATCAATCTATGAACTAAGGGTTTGTTCTCATTGACTGAAGTAAAGTGAACTAAAAATAATCGTATGAGAGCAGACCCTAATTCACATTACATTAGACCTTAGTCCATACTTCCATATTCATTTATAATTTTATCAATTAAACTACTCTCAATATGTTCCTAAAACCTTTATAATTATATCTTTAATAACAACAATTAACCTCTTACTCTTTTTTTAGTATGACTATAACTCTACCATTTCTCATCATTTCATTCAACACTTAATTATATATAATGTTCCATTACTTACATCGATCATTGTATATTTGTATGTTATTGCGCCATTCCATTTATTACCCCCATATAAAATAAGGGAGTTTGAGTCACCCAAATATCTATATATGAAGACTTCATTCAATCAGTAAGCATGAAGTACTCTCCAAGTTAGACTAAAGTCCAACCCCATGAACAAGCAATGCAAACAATCAAACCGCATAAATTTTTGTCATAACACAAAATTGCATACAAATCCTTAAAGACAAATATATTAAGTACTAAGCGGTTTCTTAATGATGGAATTTCAATGGTCAAATTGCTGATTCATACGTAGGTCCCATAATATAAATCTATACAGGTAATCAAGTACTTCGAATAAGACTTTTCAAAGGGCCAATAATATATATTTTCATGATCTTAATACAAGTACTCCATAGTAATAAAGACATTAAGATTTGGATATACCTTCATGTAGTACGTGAAGATTTTGATGGCTCACACTACATGCTCCACTTGCTAGAGTAAGTAAGTACCATGCCTCTAACAAGCAATTTCCAACTACACACAAAGAGCTAATGTCCAATTAGTATTCAATGATCTGATCTGGAATATTTGTCCTGCAATTTCGAAGAGTTTGTATTGGACTAGCAATGTGTTAGTGGTCCTTACAAGATGTATGACTACTGCATAGAGAAATAGTTCAATCCCGTGTGGAGAAAATGAGATACTCCGTAGTAGTTAAACAGTTTAATCTCGTGAAGAGAAATTGATTGCAACAATCCTTAAGATGCGCAGTTGTATCACCGGTCATATGTTTGTAAGGGCATATACACACTTTAATTATACTTGGAATAAATGACTATGTGATGTATTCAGGCGGTGTGTCTGAAAATCATAGAGTTGAGTCAAATTAAAACATAATATGAGTAGTAAATTTAGAGAAAGAATGGTGCAAACTCTTAGAAATGAGTATCATTCGATGATTGATTTATCATGGTGGTCGAAACTCCAAAGCATTTAGTACAGTTTTACATGCTTGCAAAGTCAATGGTTACATATTTGCATGTGAGTATACCCTACTTCTCAGGTTTGATAATTGTTTATACAAAAACTATAAATCATTATGATGTGACTCTGATTCATATCCATAATTCATTCAAGTTGTTGCGATTACCTCAACTTTGAAACAAGACCAACTGACCAAGTCAAGTATGACAAATTGGCAAAGTATAAAATTTCTGGAGAAATCTCTATCATCCTAGGCCCTAGAAGCAAGTATTAGTCAATATTTGGACCCCCTTTTGCAGGATATAAAACATGATTTTAAACAAGTAGATGTAGATGTGATAAGTTTAATTTGTGTCCAATAATGAAATATTAATCATTATACTCATCAATTATACAGAGTAATATTCATGATTATAAGCCAATTTTCTTAATTGAGTATATCTTGGCATTTCAATGTGATAACAGATGCAATAAATCGAGTTGAATTAATCAATTTGCCCTAGGTACTATTACTTCAGTCAACAGTCTTAAGAATCATCACCTGATTCAACAAGCTACCTAAAGAAGAAATTATCCTGCAGATCGTATAATTAATTTTCCAAGATATGTAAATCACTCTAGAAAGCTTGAAACACACAACTTCTTCGACAAAGCAATACCACAACAAACACACTGAAATAGCAAATATAAGCCACCTATAAGGCATGCTTCTAACAAACACACTCTAAAAGCAAATACATGAGTTTTCCATTTGGATTTTGCAGCAGAAACCAGTGTTCCAAGAAACAGGTGCAGAGGCTTAAAATGGCTACGCAAGCATGGATTCTGTAGGGCAGGACATCACTCAAAATCCTGAGCTGAAACACAGAGAGACGATCCATAATGCTAGTTTTGTCTAAAAGACAGAAGTTTGATGAAAGTACAAAGAAAAGATAATGCAAACAATTAAATTATACCATATTGAGCATTTAAGGATTAGTTCCTCCTGATATGAGCTCCTCCAATTCATCTATCACAGCCTCGTAGCAAAACTTGTATTGATCCTAGAAAAATCCACACTTATAAACGTACAGAATAGAATAGAAGCAGAGAAATTACATGCTAATTATATAAGATCCCAGCATCGGGATAGAAACAGAATACATAAAGATAGTTACTGAAAAGTCTGACTCACCAGCCTTTCTCCTTAGGAGAACTAATCACAAATAAATTTTTACGTTTTCATCATACCAATAATGTATTGATTTAAATTTCTTTTCCATCAATAACAATCAAGGGAGTGAAGTCCAAATTAAAAAATAAATCCTAGAAAGTACACTATTATATTGAGAAGGCCTAAAATAAATAGTAGGTGCCTCCTTGTTAAGGAATGAAGTTTTCTTTCAGAAAATGTAACAGCTTTTAACGGACATCCTTATTTAGAAATTAGAACTATGTATACGTGACCATTCTTCTGTACAGAGAATGCAACATCAAAGGGTTGGACTATTCAACATGACTACTGCAGCATTTCCAATAACTAATTAATCAATCTTATAGCTTCATCCAAACCCAAGCAATAGTTATAACCAAAAGACCAAACACAAGAGTTGTCAACACTCAGAAGAGACAATACCAGTGATTGGACCATTCCAGCTCGCTGAAATCTGAATGCCTTGACAGTTTTGGCTAATTCTAAGGCAGACTCATCTCCTCCTAGAATTCTTTGGATTGTATCATGAATGGTGCAGTATGTTCCAGTACGGCCAATTCCAGCACTGAGAAAAGTAGCTAATATGTCAGAAAATCTGAAATTATCCAGGTAATAGTAAGCCCGGAGAATAAAGTCATTTATTTACTTACCTGCAGTGCACCAATATCGGGCCAACACTGGGAGGCTGATGAAAAATTCTTCTGAAGAATTCTCGAACAGCTAATGTGTCCTTCGGTGTGCCATGATCTGGCCACCCTAGATACTGAATATGCAAAACCGACAATGCCTCTTTCGACTGAAACAAATGTGAACTGTAACAGTGAGGTACCATCTCATCAAGGGACGTTGCTACTAAAAATGCCAGAGAAAGAAAGCTCATATATGGATAAAAGCAGAATTTCAATTAACATAGTTCTGTATAACTATCAAACAGTGAATTCATAGGCGTACTAATCATTTTCATTTCAATGTTCCAGAGTTTTCATGTTTATTGGACTCAGGTTTGTGCCCAAGCATTAGCCTTGGCCAGTTGGCCCTTGGCTATAAAACTCCTTTATTTGGCCCAGGATAAACTGTCAAGCATCCACAACCATATGTCAAATCATCAAAGAGCTGACATGAGTCCTTAAGGTAAAATGAAGAGTTCAAGGAACATAACTAAGGATGTCAATGGGTCGAATCTGACAAGACCCACAACCAAACCCAGACCAGACCTGGATTTTTAAAGGTGGACCCAGATCAGATCCACTGGCTCTAAATAAATTAGACCCATACCAGAACCACTGGGTCTAGCAGGTCTCAGGTCTAACTATGAATTTTTAATTTTTTTAATCACTTGTTTAGTTATTTTATATACAAGTATTACACTATCCTATTACTTGAATATAAACAAAGATACATAAAAAAAATTTGCTACATATCAAAATAGATTGCATAGAAAGAAAGATAAAACATACTAGTTCATAATAAAAAATAAAAAATCTTAAAAACAAAGTTTCATGCTGCAGGTCTTCATTTTATTTTATTTTTTGCTCCAATTAATTTCTTTTATTAAAATGACCTTACCTCTGCTTTGGTGACTTCCAATTGCCGAAAGACCAAGGAGCTCCCAGTTTCTTTTATCCAAGTTGTGACGATAGAAATGTTGCCAAATTCATTAGGTCCATTCTCTGCTTGAAAGTAGTCATGACACTTCAACTTCTGCATTCAAAATTCCATTCCAGAAATTAAGTTACACATAAATAGATTACTAGTACAAACACTCTGTTCAACAAAGAGTTTCTTTATGTTTTTTACTCCTGAGATGCAAACCTAAATTCAAGAGTTGAACCTTGAAAGCAGCATTAGCAAAAGAATCAAAGGGAGTTTGGAAGAAGTACATCAGTGCCAGATATCTGTCACATAGAATGCTAATTATAATAAGGTGATAGCAATCAATTTACCCCTTCAAACAACCGTGTAAGCATTACAATCACAGGGCAGCGATACTGCAACACCATTTCCCAGAAATCCGTAAATGTGCTTGGCAATGGACCTTGTGTGGCTATGAACTGAGGAGCATGTTCTGCAGAAGACTAAATTTGACATAAAATTCAATGGACAAAAAAAAAAAAAGAAAGATAAACTACGAAAAAAGTATGTAGTGAATCTAGTGATCATGCTTGGTTTACATAGTAAGATATAGAGTGCAATGCGCACATCACTTACATTTACAAAGCTTGCATTGATGTAACCCCCGTCTGTCAGGACAATTCTGTTGCTGTCAACTGTAAAATAATAAATAAATAAATTTTCTTTTTAAAAAAAAAAGACAAAAATAAGATTTTTAACACAGCTAGACAATTCACAAGTATATAACAGTAATTAAACATGCGGATCATATCAACATTACCCCAATGCCACTGAAGAGGCTCTCTAACCTAGTCGATTCAAGAGGTATTGAATGCATGTAGTATTGTAGTCTCATAATCTTACACTTTTAATAATGGAGAGATTATTCCCCATCAAACTTTGAATTTGACATACACTAACTGTTTGCTACGTCAAAATGAATAGGAACTTTAGGCATTTACTTTAACCATTTTAATTGTGTAAGTTATATTCCAAAAATCAATGGTAACTAGTACGTAGTACATGTTTGATTCCATTATAATTGGAGAAATGACAGAGTAAGATCTTTAAAAAAAGTTAACTTATTGGATTAGGAATTACATGGTAAGACATTTGGATACCGATTTTTGTTCAAATTGTCCACATGAATAGCCACCTGACAGATTTCTTCCTTTTGCTTTTCCACATCAGATTCTTTCATTGATTCTACCTGCATCAGAGAAGAGCTGGCTTAACATCTATGTCATTGTAGGAACCACAAAATAATGAAGAAAATATTGATGAGCAGAAAAATCGAGAGGAATCACACATAATACAGCATAATCTGCAGGGTGTGATGGACTAAGTATTTCCCACCCTAACAGATATACGGAATAATTATAGGTTTACTAACATAACTTGTTTTGCAAGTTTCATATTGATGCAAAAACTGACATCTTCTTACTAAAAATGAGTGAACAGCAATTGTTTAAAGTGAAGTAGAAATCGGTAAAAACTCATATTTAAAAAGATCAAACAGTGGTTACTCTGTAAAGTGTCACATGAAGTAGTGGATCAGACATAATACCTCAAGAAGATCAAACTCACGTTCTTTGAAATCAGGGTGCCCCAAATTCTCCTTGAAACAGTGAAGAGCATCATTGCAATATTCTATCTGCTCAGCGGAGAGAGATATCTGAGGAGGATGTTGTGGGAAATCAAAGGATTTGGGAGGGTGAGACAGAGAAGGGGTAGAAGAAGAAGCTGAAACTGAAGTAGGTTCTACAGGAGCAGCCATATTTATCCTTAAGAAGTTAAGAATAGCGCGAGAGTGAGAAAAAAAAAAATGAAAGGTATTGCTACTTCTCTTTCAATGTCTTCAGGTAAGTTCTCTGATTCTAATGTTTGATTTTCAACATATTTATAGTTGGGAAATAAGAAAGATAGTCTGTCTACTTTTCTTTTTTTATCAGGACATCCCAAACTTTTCTACATTATTATAAACGGAATATATAGAAGTACCATTAATTAATGGCTATGTGAAGAATTTTGCATTATTGATATAAAAAAACAAATGATACATTAAGCAAGTTACTTATTATAGTTGATCATTTTAAATCGTATCGTACATAATATGCTATCTTTATTATTACAGTACAAAACACAGAACAAAAAATACATACTTGATCATCACTTGCTAACAACCCACAACAACTCATGTTCTACCCAATATAATCATCGTACCTTATTGAAACAATACTATATCTAAGCCTTTACCTCCATTTATAATAACCAACAGCTTAGCCGCCCTCATTGTTATAATGGGAATATAATAATACAAAGTATCAAACTTCATCAATTATTAAAAGCAATACGATGAAGACTTACAAAGCAATCTCTAGTCAGATTACCATCATAAAATTCGCAATGTACACATACATTTTCATTTAAATAAGCTAGACTACATCCCATTGACGGGGGGGAGGAAATCTGGTGATCGATTTGCTTTACATCTACTGGTCTATGTTGTATGTATATAGAGTCATCAAATACGAAGCAGCAGTAAGCCGGTAACAATACTAACAACAACAAAGTTAACTTTAAAATGCCTCTCCAGGGTTAAATGTACACATACGGGCAAAAGAACAAACAATATATGATAAACGCGTACAAGAACATGAATTAAAACTACAGCAGAAGGCAGAAACCCAATTTTCCGAGCTTGGTGCAATCAGAAAAAGAAATAATAAAAGCAAAGACTGATTACAGTCTGGAAATTTTAGCAGTACGTTGTACATTAAGCAATCATCATTCTTCCTCTGTGAATATTCATGTAAGGAAATTACCTTGAGAAGTCACTGCTGCTCTTCTACACCTGCACCAGTCTTGCTGCCGCAAAGAAGCAACATAATGGCAGAACAAGGACAATCCTGCAGAGTCTACATTCTCTAAATAAGATAATTCTGAGCTGAACAAAAAATAATATTGGTACATGGTGCGAAATGGGTATAAACTTATGAAAATAGCTAGATAAAGGTGACATACCTTTTAGCACTTTCTCAGGATCCTACCCAGATATGAGCTCCTCCAATTCATCAACCAACATCTTCCTGATATGCGCTCCAATTCATCAACCAACATCTTGTAGCAGAAGTGGTATTCATCCTAGATAAAGGGCACATGCATAATCATGTAATGGGTTTACAAGACATAGGAAAATTACTTCATAAATCCTAATTCTTAACAAACACTTTAGCATTAAACAAAGGCGGAGATTATTATCCTAATTTAATAAAATCAGTTTCTGTCCTCTACACTTTCCATCTGTGAGGGTTAGGGTCATTTCTCATTCCCACAACTTCAAGGTCATTCTTACTCACTCTTATACCAAACCTAATTATTATATATTACCCTCATCAAACATACCAAGAAAGTCCAAGTTTATCTCCTTGATAAACATAACAATTTATCAAGTGGCAATTTCCAATTAATAACCTTATAAAAGTTCCATCTTAATCACTACTCAAATCCAGGCAAGGCCTTGACAACACGCTTGCTTTACTGCGATATAGTATACCGAACTTCGAAAATTTTTACATAGCCTAAATTAACCACACAGAATAATTTCTTAACTGGCAAAAATGGTACAGTATAAAGGAGGTTTTTTTTTTTTTTTTTTTTTAAATTAAAAAAAATAAAACTGAACAAGAAAATTAAGATAGCCAATTAATCAAGACAAACGCAATAACCATGATCATTAGCATTAAAAACTCGAAACGATAAGGGGAAAACAAGACGATCGTCAAAATCATACCCCAGTCATCCATGATCGTTTGATCACAATCACTGCAAATTACAGCACAGGCTTAAACCCTAAATTCAAATTAGCAATAACATTTCAATTATCAATTTATTATCACAATTTGACGTAACTAAAAATAATCAACTCAAGAAATTTCAACACTACAATTGAACGCAATTAGTTACTTAAATTTTTAATCGCATAAAACGGAAACCCTAAATCTCAGTACTGTAATAATTCAGTTTGATTGGAAGCCTAAATTATCACTAATCAATGAGTTGCAAAAGCTAAATAGGTAAAATACAGCAAATTAAATAAAATTCTTACCATCCATGTTTAGAGCGGAAGCTTGAAGAAAGAGAAAATCATATAAATGAAAGAAATTATGGGATTTGGATGATCAAAGTATGGATGATTCAATCAAAAGAGTGATTTCTCTTTAAGATGAAGAATGGAAGAGGAATAATTGGAGAAAGTACAAGTTGATCTTCAACAATTGTTTATGGAAGGACAATATTGTACATTTGTACAGTAGATATATGGATAAATATTTTGGTCTTAAAAAAAAAAAAAAAAAAAAAAAAAAAAAAAAAAAAGGATAATTGACTGTTGGCACAATGGCACTTGATACACTCATTCCGTCCTTTTTTTTTTTTTTTTACCTATGTCTTAAAATGCAATTACTCCCTTTCTCAAAAAAAAAAAAAAAAAAAAAGGGAATTACTCCACATTTTGGTCAATGTTTTGAAATTTGAGAATGAGGGATAAATCAAGTGGTTAGACCTCTCATTTTCGATTTCAAGCGATTCTGAAATCGATTCGTATCACTCAGTCTTATATTTCTCTACATACCAAAAAAAATTACGAGTATTTTTAAAGTTAAACTCATTTATTTACAACTGAGGAAAAAATGTCAACAGAGGATGTAATGGGGAGGTAATAGTGCAAAGCTTGACTTTAACATCACAAGGGCATTTTGACTTTGACAATATAAGGGCATTTTGGACTTTTTCCCTCAGACTTGAACATCAGAAGTTCACAGCTCCGGGGCAAATTTGATGTTGATATTGTTGAAGCTATGGCAATGAGGCATGCTTTGAAGATCACTATGGAAGCTGGTTTTGTACGAGTATGTTAGGTGAGTAAGGTGACTGATAACAGCAAAGTGTACAAGCATCTTCAAAGTGATGTCTTCACAGATACTAATATGTTAAAACAATGGGTAAAATAACCAAACTTGACTCATAATTAATAAAGCACGCCTCTTTAAATCAAATTTGAATAGTTACATATAACAGCATTGTAAGAAACTTAATACACTGTTTTGAATTCTAGTGATTGACAATACTGATATACAGACAATAGTCACAAAACTCGCAATATGTCCACACTTCCAATAATATTTGTTTGGGTTGGGGGATTATAAAAATTCCAGAAAAACAAGCATCGTCACAAAATCACAACAATAAACTTTAAAAATGTCTTTCCCGGGTTAGATGTACCAATACAAGTACAAGAATAGCTATATACTTAATTAGTATGGATAGAAGTACACTCACAGAAATTAAATGTACATAAGAATCCGAATTTCCATATGATACTAGGGATTAAAAATCATAAATTCTGAATACAGTCTGCTCAGTATTACGTTGCAAATCAAGCAATTTTCATTCTTCCTTCTGCAAATATCCATGTTGAAATAATCACCTTGAGAAGTCACTGCTGCTCTTTTGCGCCTGCGCCAGTCTTGCTGCAGCAACAAAGCAACCAAATAAAAAGGACAGGATCGATCCTGCAATAGCATTATTCTGAGCTGAAGTAGAAAATAATTGGTCTGTGATGCAAAATTTACATAAAAGCAATCTTATGAGAATATTGGATATACCATCAAGCGCTTTTCTCAGGATTGTAACTTGATATCAGCTCCTCCAATTCATCAACCACCACCTTGTAGCAGAAGTAGTATTGATCCTAGATAAAAGACACATACATAAAAATCAAAAAATGTATCAAGTTTATAGACATAACTATATAAGACATTACTTCACATCCTAACAATTAACATACACTTCAGCATTAGAAGAAATGCAGAGATTATTATCCTATTATAGTAAAACCAGTTTCTTTCCTAAGAGATACTTGTTCACAAAGTCAACAGTAACGAAAAAAAAAAGTGGCAGAGCCACTATTTGGAAATTCAATGGTAGTGCTCCCACTTCTTCCAACTTCAAGGTTGGGTTGTATTATTGGGTTCTCATTGACCGTAACATCCAGATTCGTATTTTAGGGAAGGGTTTCCCTATGGTTGGAGTCCCTTTTAGGCTCATAGGGGATGGTCCTCCTGAAATAGCTAACTAGTAATTACCATATCCTCTTCTGTTGTGCCCACACCTACCCTTCGAGAGAGAGAGAGAAAGAGAGAGAGAGAGAGAGAGAGAGAGAGAGAGAGAGTACCAGTGTTTGAACCATTCCAACTCGCTGAGATCTAAAAATCTCAACAGTATTGGCCAAATCTAAGGCAGACATGTCTCCAGCAAGAATCCTTTGGAGTGTGTCATGAATGGTGCAGTATGTTCCTGTGCGACCAATTCCAGCACTGAGCAAAGAAAATAGGATGTGTGAGGATCAATGGTCAATGATTAACTTAGAGAGCAGAAACTAGGAACTGAGCACGAAGTATACCTGCAATGTACCACTAAAGGCCCTAAACCAGGTGGCAGATGATACGTTCTTTTAAAAATCTCTCTAACAGCTACTGAGTCCTTGGGAACACCATGATCAGGCCATTCAGGATACTGAATATGCAAAACAGACAATGGTGCCTCTTCCGACTGCAATAACCACATAAGCACAACAGTAAGTTACTGGTCACTGTCTCATCAAGTACATCAAGTTATAGAGAACAAGCTCACACTAAAAAGAATTCAGCTTAGTTACCAGACTGCCAGTATAAATGTCAAGGAACAAATCTGATGAGGTGATAACTGATAATTGTACTTGGTCTTTAATCAACAAATTTTTATAAACAAATTCAAGAAGCAAATAGAAGTAAGACTTTTCCAATACATTCTCGGTTTATTTACAAATAGTATTATCTAATGCAATAAGTCCAAGCACTTCGATGCAAAGCAAAATGATCCAATATTCATAATTCATGATTATTCAGCATTCCTTGCTCTGTTTCTATTTACCCATACTCCATAGTCCATACTCCCACCAAGAGTATGAAACAATTTCTCCTCAATTATTGCAAACAAGAAAGTTGTATTAGCTATGAAATGGCTAGTGCTTCTGCTTCATGAAGATGAATGATATAATTTAGTGAGTGTTTGGCTTATCATTAGCCTTCTTATTTGCAGTATAATCATCTGCTTTCTAATTTGAGAACTATTTACAAAGTTTGGGTGGTCAGGGCTAGAGCTAAGATTTTATTATGCTCTTTTCTCTTATTACTCGTCACAAAGCTCTTCAGTTAATTTAAAAGGATGGTTCAGGTTGGATCGTCTTTAAAAACTCCACTGAGATGGTTCAAGTTGGATCGTCTTTAAAAACTCCACTGGATTTCTCTCCTAATCCAAAGATCAATTAAAAAAATAGATAAGGCCATAGCCTAGCATATTTATTCTTTAAAATTATTCTAGTTCCTTCTAGTTCAATTTTTAAGACAATAATTCAACAATGAACTACAATTTTGAAGACATAGAATGATCTTACCTCTGTATTGGTCACTTCTAAATGTCGCAAAATTAAAGAGCTCCCAGTTGTCTTGATCCATTTAGTGACAATTGATATGTTACCAAATTCCCGAGGACCATCCTCTGCTTGAAAATAATCACCACACTTCAAAGTCTGCATATGAAATCCAAAAATGTAGATACACACTATTAGAGCAGAGTTCGGAACGGAAATTCGTGGAGAGCAATTAAGATATCCACACTCCCAAACTAGTACAAGAAGGAATAAATCACTGCGTGCATTTCTACAAACATATAGGCCATCACATATATGGAAGAATAAATAATCCAGAACCAATAACTTCCCAGAATACAGCATTAAGCTTGCTTGCTTACAAAAGCTGTGTGTGGCAGGCCTAAAATACTCGTAAACACACTGCATATAATAAAACACATACTCAAATGAAATACAAGCAGCTTAAACTAACCAACTTTGATTTTTCTCTCTCCTCACACATTATATGCTTTAAACAAAGGCACTTAAAAAGTTAAAAATTAAAATTATCTCTGTTACTGATGTTTTAGAGGTGTGCTTCCTTTCTAATCCATGTAAATTTTATACGGAACAATCCATATAAGCTTATATATAGTTATTTAAAATCAGATTTAACTGAACATTTGCCATATTGTTTAAGATAGGTAACTTTCATACAAGCTTTAGTTCACCATGACATCAAGTTTGCCATTGATTTAACATCAAAGTTATCTCTAGTATTTGCCTCCTTGAATAATAATCATAGATAATTTTATGGGCATAGGAGTGCAACGTCAACAGTGTTTTCATTTTCACACAACACATTCAAATGGAATTGCAACATGTGTATCATCACTAAACAAACAATAGTCAAGTGTATTTTACATTAATTTGTTTTTTGCTCTGCTTATTAGTGAAGACTGAAGACATGGATCAGTTGAAGAAGCAAATAGCATATGATTAGAGAAAAGTTTGGCAAGTCACAAGTCCCTTTCCTTATATGGTCACACAACTCAAATAAGATGGTATACGGCACAGTGAAGTACCTTGTAATTGTCAACCAGCCGTGTTAGCATCACAATCGCAGGGCAGCGATTCTGCAACACCATTTCCCAGAAATCTTCAAATGTATGTGACAATGGACCTTGTGTGGCTATAAACTGAGCAGCACCTTCTGCTGGTGTCTACATTTGATATGAATTCAGATGTCAAACAGAGAATGTAAACTATTATGACACCATTCATCTATGAGTGACAGTCCCAAACACAAAATATTTGCAAAAATTTAGCAATTTTGATAGTCAATTATTCATGCAAAAAAGGGTTTGAATTGCTCTAGATTTTTTTGTCCAAATAAAAACATAAAATAAAAAGATAACACTTCCATGAGTATTATATTACTCGTACGAAATATAAATGGTCAAATATTATATTCAATGATTCATTCAATAATCAGATCACAGCAATCAAGTCTAGATGGAAGGAGTGAGTAATAAAACAAATTAGTAAAAACTACTCCAGGAGTCCAGGGTTACATAATTCAGTGGTGGAGAGCACATACTAACTTTTATAAAGCTCGCATTAATGTAACCCTTGGCTGATGGTCTATAGTCCTTACATGAGGTCAAAACAACTCTGCTGCTGTCAACTGGAGACAAGGACAACAACAAGCTAGTCAATTACATTATTCATTCATAACAACATTCAAACTGATAAAAAGAGTCAGTGAAAGTGTGAAACAACTAGAAACCTTCAAAGAAATAGATTGATTGGAAAAGAAATTACATGGTATAACATTAGTATAGCGGTTTTTGCTCAAATTTACAGGGTCAAGGGCCACCCTACAGAGTTTTGTCATGTCAGATGATCTGATTCTTTTGTCCTGCACCCAAAAAAAGCCTAAGATCTCAGAATAGGAACTGCATCACACTGAACAGAACTTGATAAACAAAATTTGGCGGACAAACAATAAACAGCATAACATAATCTCCAAAAATAAATATTACTCCGTAATAAATAAATTATACAAGTAAAAAGAGATTTTATTTATCTATTTATTAATAAGAAATGAGAAATACAACTAGAGGAAATGAGGTCCCACCAAGTGCCACAACAGAACAAAATAGAAATGAACCATTGAAGCAACATAACATTCAAATTCTAGTATTTCACCCTTTTATAAAGTGCAACATGGATTTTATAATATCCATTCACAGAAAATCTATGGAGTAAAATTCACATAGCCTTAAGGTTGCATACCATCGAACCATTCACATGGTCTAGGTGAGGCGATTTTGAAGAGGCGCAGCTTGAGGCGCACAAAGATTTTGTTTTTTTTCAATTTTTTATATACTGCTTATTATATGCACCTCACTTCAATGAGGCACACTTAGGCGAAAGGAACTCCAAAAAGCCTTTGTGCTCCTTGAGCCTTTTTTACGCATTGACCTGGCTGACTATCCACCTAGATATTCTGATAAGAGACATTCATGGATCAAAGAAGTGCCTACTTTGACTAAGATATGAGTAGTCCATTCTAATATAGTAATATTAAATACTCCCTTCTTCCCTATTTTTTTCCCTATTTGACTTTTCACGGTCACCCAGACACCTCTTAAAACGTATATATCACTAATTCTATACACGTAAGTACGTAACATTATAAATACTTGATATTAATAAAATGTACAATGAGACGAATTCAACAAGATCCTGCATAACTATATTATCTCCTATAGATTAACTTTCTTATAAGCAATGGAAATTAGTTTAATACGGTAGAGCTTGGTTGAGCTAATAGCTTATCAACAGAAACATGTATGACTGTTAGAATTGAGAAAGAAGTACTTTGTAACATAATATCCAGAAAGGAGTTTCTCTTGGAATGGGAGAATCATGGCCACTGAGAAAAGTTGATGCTACTTGGCAGCTTCACAAAGGACACTGCACACTTTAGAAACTGCTTCTAGAGCAAATGTCCTCCAAAAAAAAAAACAGCTAAATCCTTGAAGCAAACATATTTCCTGCTCCAAAAAAATATTTACAAATTCAAACTCTACACCCCTCTCATCAACCCATTCCCTCCACCAATTCCCATTCCCCCCCATTCACAAAAGGCAGAAACTGCTCACTCAGTTGGAAGCATAGTTTCATAATTTCTAATACTTAGTTCTCCAAGCAACACTCATACTATCAAAATATGCCACTTATTTCAAGAATTCGTACAACATAAAGCTTCTCAGTTTGATTAAAATTCCATGATCGTTCCCACTAATTTACATTAGATAACAGAGAAGGAAGTAGGGAATCCTCAAGTGCTAACAACAGTGTGGGTCAAATCAGAAAATACAACCCTTAGAAGGCCCCTGGAGCATGAAGTCAGTGACAATTAGAGATACTACTGAGACAATTTTAACCCATAAGCACTTGCTAATTCGCAATCCCAAAAATCAAGTCAATCCTTTTCAACCACAATGTCCACTAAAGAGCATATCATGCCCTATGCCACAACATGTAAATATGTAACAGCTCTATCCAAACCAACACAGATCGAAATACAGGACTTGCAGGTGTACCTAACAGAAATCGACCTAACTCACCCCGCTCTCAAAGTCTCAAGGAGCTTATATCAAAAGAATCTAGCATTCATAGTGTAGATTATACTCTCAAAGAAGGGAAGAAGTATATTTAGTCCCCTATTTGGCACATAATCTATGGTGTTAATACCTTTAACTCCAAAAAGTGTTGCAACAAAAAGACACTAAAGAAGCAAAATTATTGTAGCTGTTACCATGACAACCCACAAAACAAGGGTATATTTGGTAAAATTAGGAGCATTTTTTTTCTTTTAACAATGTACTTTATGCCGATCATCAACTAATTATGTCTAGGTTTTAAGCATCTGAATTGGACAACATCATCAAAATTAACATCAATTAACTCCTTTTTCCTTCTAATTATATATCCAAAATATCTTCTAATCATACAACAATAACCTACAAGTACATACAACCCAACATTCAACATTGAACTAAAATCAACAGTACATCAAATATCTCCCTAAAATAATTAAAACTGCAACATTCAAGCTGATCCCACCAAATAAAGCACAATTCATAAAAATCAATTATTTTTCTGGGAAATGAGTAAAATTTATGAATAAGAAGTACCTGAAGAGAATCGAACTCACGTTGAATGAGTTGGGTATTGTCCAATTTTTGTTTGAAGAGGTCAAGAGCACGAGAACAGTTATGAAACTGGTCAGAAGAGAGAGAAAATGCAGGGGAATGTTCTGAAAAATCGACAGATTGAGGAGGAAGAGGAGGTGGTGAAGAAGAAGAATGAAGAGAAAGTGAAGCAGGTTTTGGAGAAGAAGCAGACATTTTGGGTTTTTTCCGGAAGCAAATCCGGGATGAAACAGAGTTCCCCGTTGTTGAGAAAATGAAAAAAGATCAAATTTGTAGGGTTTTTTTTCTGGGAAGTCTGAAAATTTTAGACAGTGTGAGCTGTTGTTTCTGTAAAATTGTGATTTGGAAGAGAGATTTTCGAAAGAGATAGATTATCTATTTATTTATGTGGGTCAATTTGATTTCGCACTCTTTTCTTTTTGTTTGATTTTTGTGTTGGTGGATTTGGTGTTATGGTGGGAGATCATTGTATGGGTGTTGGGGTGTGTTTGGTGTGTGCTTTTTGAACCATTTTTTTGTGAAAAGAAATATGGTTAACATAGTTGGCTAATTAATAACGAGTACTAGAAGTACTAGTTAAGCTTAAGCTAACATCATGGTAATAACCTTTTGAGCTTTTTTCGATGAGTTAGTAACGGGATGTGTGGTCATGATTGCTTGTATTGATTATTAAAAATGGTTTCAACCGTTTAGATGGTCTCTAAAGGTCTCGTGCAGTCTATGAAATTTATTTCAAATGTTGGATGTCTAACTTGAAGACTAAATCATTCGAGTCCAAAAATGTTCTCTAAAGGCTAAATTGAAGACTAGCTATATTTACAATATTGGAACTGGCTAAATTGGTTTCGACCACTAAAAAGGCCTCCCATGGATTCACGACTCGCGAGCTCCATAACAAGCATCATGATTCATGTCCTACATACTTTATAGGTCTAAAAAAGCCGAAAAATTCTTACAATCGACAGTTCTAATACACAATTTAGAATTAATTTCACCAAATTTTTTGAAAGTTGAAGTGAATGCCTTGTGGGCATAAAAGTGTTAGTTTAAAGCTATAATAAACCTACCAATTCGTTTTTAAACTCTAGAGAATGAGCTTGGGACGGGAATGTTAAATTACGACAACTGATACACTGACAGTATATATCAATTTGCGATATACTTCGTAAGTTCGTAGTATATTGATTATCAACGCAATATGGGTGTAAAAGTGAAGACAATTTTGAAATTTTTACGACTAATATATCCCGAAAGGAAATCGAGCAATAAATTATGTTTCCCTTCTTGGCTACTCTACTCCAACTTATCAAAATATTGCCCCCCTTAATCAATTTTATTTTTTGAGACGGATTAGTGTATGATCTTGGATCTTGTGAGAAAACATTCATAACATTAGAAATGTATTTTACCTTTTCAAAAAAAAAAAAAAAAAAAAAAAAAAAGTGTACTAGAGTGAGTGAGTGACCTAACTAATCTCGGGGTGTGTTTCATCCAAAAAAATCACAGCCCCCAAACCTTAAAACTCCTCAATCCTCAATTCCAAACAACCAAGCAGCCAAACTGGCAAAACCCTCCTTAAACCCCAAACTACCATTTCCTATTCTTCACTTCCCCCAAACCCAGAAAACTCTGCAAATTTAACCACAAAAATGCTAATAAAATCCAAAGTTCAACGCTTTATATTTGTACCTCACCACCCAAATCCCTCCAATTTTCAATGTATAAGAACTTTTCTTGATAACATTGAGATAAATTTTGTTCCAGATCGTGGGTTAGACCATGCTGTTGAGAAAGAAAAAGACCTAAAATATGTGGTTAATCTCAAGAACTTGCTTAAATCAGAGCCTTCAAAGTCTCTTTCTCTGTCCTCCATTGTTGACCATACAGAGAAGCTCAGTATCCCATGTCGAACAATTGATTTTATTCGTAAGTACCCTAATTTTTTTGAAGAATATTTTCCTGCTAATATTGGGGTCCACCCACATGTTAGATTAACCCCAGAAAGTTTGAATCTTGATGCTGAAGAACAGTTGATGTATGATAGTGATACATTTAGGAAAGATGCTGCTGATAGGTTGTTGAAACTCTTGATGTTGTGTAGAATTAATGAATTTCCTTTGAAATTGATTGATAGGTTTAAATGGGATTTAGGTCTTCCTGATAATTATGTTGATACATTAGTTCCTGAGTTCCCTGATTATTTTAAAGTGAAAAGGATTAATCAGACCCGGCCTAATAGGGTTGAGGGTTTGCTGGAATTGGTGTGTTGGAGTGATGAATTGGCAGTTTCGGCTATTGAAAAGATGGCTAAGAAGGGGGATCCCAAATATGAAAATGGGATGCCAATTGCTTTTCCTTTGCAGTTTTCTAATGGGTTTGAGATGGATAAGAGTCTGAAGAGGTGGTTGGATGACTGGCAAAAGTTGCCTTATGTATCACCTTATGAGAATGCAACTCATCTTCAGCCTAATACTGATATGTCTGATAAGTGGGTGGTTGCGGTTTTGCACGAATTGCTCCATATTCTAGTTTCCAAGAAGACAGAGAGAGATAACCTGCTTTGTCTGGGAGAGTTTTTAGGTATAAAGCCAAGGCTTAAGCGTGCATTGGCTCATCATCCAGGCATATTTTACCGTTCAAGTAAAATTGGGACTCATACTGTGGTTTTAAGGGACGGGTTTAAGAGAGGTTTGTTGATTGACAAGCATCCATTGATAGATATGAGAAATAAATATATACATCTGATGCACAAGGTGAAGGAAGGGAAGAAGTCAAAAAGTGTGGCTTGTCCTAATGCTGGTAAGCAACAAGCAGTGAAGGAAGGGGAAGTGGAAAATGAGGAAGAGACTGAAGAGGATATGCAATTATCTGTTTCTGATGTGGATGAAAGCAGTGATGATGAGGAGGACAAAGAGAGAGAAGTGGAGGAGCAAGCTGAAAGCTCAAGAGATAAGGTTAATAAGGGAAGAAGAAAACCTGGAGAGGGTAGGGGGAAGCCTGGGAGAAATGCTTTGGAGGAGGAAAGTGATAGTGATGATGATGAGAAGCAAGTTGAGATCGCAGAGGATGGGCGCAATAATGGAAGAAGCGGATCTGGTAGGGTAAATGAAGGCAAGGGAAAACCTGGAGAGGGTAGGGGGAAGCGTTGGAGAAATGTTTCGTGGGATGAAAGTGGTGAGGCTAGAGAGGAAAATCAAGTTAGGAGCTCAAGAGGTGGGCGCAGTAATGGAAGAAGAGGATCTGGTAGGGCAAATGAGGGCAGGAGAGATTCTGATGAAGGTAGGGGGAAGCCTTGGAAAAAAGCTTCCCGCAATGAAAGTGGTGGCGATGATGAGGAGGAGCTAGTTGAGAGCTCAAGAGGTGAGCTCAATAATGGTAGAAGAGGATCTGGCGTGGTAAATGAGGGCAGGAGAAAACCTGGAGAGGGTGGGAAGAGGCCATGGAGTAATGCTTCACGGAATGAAAGTGGTGGTGGTGGTGGTGGTTATGAGAAGCGAGCTGAGAGCTCAAGGGGTGGGCGCAGTAATGGAAAAAGAGGATTTGGTGAGGGGAGGCCATGGAGTAAAGCTTCACGGGGTGAAAGTGGTAATGGTGGTGGATATAATGAGGAGCGAGTTGACAGCTCAAGGGGTGGGCGCAGTAATGTTAGAAGAGGTTCTGGTGGGGGGAGGCCATGGAGTAATGCCTCAAGGGGTGAAAGTGGTAGTGGTGGCAGCTATAATAAGGAGCGAGGTGAGAGCTCAAGGGGTGGCCGCGGGAATGGAAGAAGAGGATCTGGTGGGGGGAGGCCTGGGAGAAACTCTTCTCGTGAAAGGTTGGCCTAAAATAACCCACCAGAACTTGCAAAATAGGTCATACTCATTAGTCATTGCAGAAGAATGCGTTAAGCTAATAGCAAGTCCAATATCAAGATAATTGAGAAAGCACTCTTTCTGTCACTGTATCACACATAGCTTTGTAAATGATTCAGTGTCTAATGTGAAAGTCTTGAATAACGGTATTTTATTTCTTTTTTGGTTATAAACCAGCCAGTTTTGTGACTTGGTTGTTCCATATCATTCCACCTTCAAAATTTATATCCTTGAGATGTTTATTATTGTTTACATTGCGGTGTTGATGTTATTTAAATCTATACGCCATAAAATCACGTGTATGAACAGTTTTGCTCCGTATGAAAAACTACAGTATCCTAAATTTCTGTTGCGTTATGGGGGTTATTAATCTCTCAAGATTAATAATGTCAGAAATCCTGTAGAATGGTACTTGCTATTTAGTTTAGCTGGACTTAAAACATATGTGGTCTATGATACACCATCAATCCATCATATTGCTGATTTATGTTATCGTTCATTTTTTCCAAATAGTATAGATTGCTATTAAAGTGGTGATAACATTGTTAATTATATTTGCTGATGGGTGATGAAGTTGTCAAGCCACTAAGTGCGCTGGAATGCCACCTTTTGCATTGTAGTGCTGCTCTTTCTAATTGCCCAGACCATGCTGTTCACAGATAAATTCCTTTCATGTATGATTATTGGGAGAAGCTTTCTGTGAAGTCCATTACTGTTTATTGAGTGGCTCCATAAATTGTAATATGTGCAGGCATCCCAGGTGTTATTATTGTGGTTCTTTGTTATCTGCATATGGTCTCTATTTTATAGGTACTCAACTACTCATGGTATGGACTTTTAGTTCCTCATTGATGTCATATTATTTCATGGCATGGAGCCAGTTCAAGTAAACTTATTGGTGGGTTAGTTGGCGTGCATCTAGTCAGAATTTGCCATATTTAGTGAGGCTCAAACACATTGGGTTTTGCATAATGGAATCAATTAAATGTGTGTGCAAATTAGATGAGCTGACTTGGGAACCTATACTCATGTTCATGCTCTTTGTCCCTTCAAGGTTCAAGTCTGTTTCCTTGCTTTTACTGATCCATTATTTACAAATAAAGTTTATGATTTTTGTATAATTATAATTACTATTGTTTGACAGATATTTAAGACAAGATTAGTATTATTGGTCAGTACGAGAAAGATATTGGAGAATTTAACTTCATTATCAATTGTGACAAATCGCAGCCATTCCATCTGACAGAACTCAAGTTGTGCTGCATTATCGCCATGATTATGGGAAGATGAGTCAAACTTGTGCCAGGTTTCTATCTCAACCCTCTTGTTGCTAGTATGCTCTGAATATCTGCATCTTCAGCCCACCATTAGAATGTGCCAATATATAATATAAACGAAATTGACCAACATATTGCTAATCATATTGACCTCCACAAATGAGTAATAGGCATCTTGTAATAAGAGGCTTTTATAAGGTCCGGTGTCTGCAGTGAATTTTTTCAAACTTAATCTGATGGGGGTTTATGTGTTGGATGTAGCTGCTTAGGTTACACATCTAACAATCCTTATCCCCAAAAGATTATATGCCGAAGGCACAACTTAGTATATGGGAGTTGTTGCTGCAATAAACATTTGCATACAAAAGAGGATGGGGTTTGGACTTAATCAGTGAGTGACTTGTTTTGAGACAACTTAGACAAGGTTGCATCAGTAGAAGTTTAAATTCTTCGGAATGGCCCTTGTCCTTAGCAGTGGTCTATTGAACATTTATAACTAGTCCTGTGGTTCATATTGGATCCATGCCAAAACTGATAATGTTGTAGAATGTAACGTAGAATAGACCATAGCTGATGATGATGGCATTGTTTTAATCTTCCCTATTGTGGGCCTGTATGCGTGACTTGTGCATTGACTTTTAGCCGCATGAATCTGAAATTTGGATGTGACAAGCCTTAGATGGTCTTTTCAGATGCTATCTTATAGTACTTGTTGAATTGATTGGTAGCATAAATGGTGGAGAACTCTTGCTGGTCATCTAAATTGAAATATCTAGGCTTCATGAGATAGTTGAAGTCACTGTTAGTTTATGTGTTGTGGTTTAGATGTTATGGTCTATTCTGTGTGTATAAATGATCACTTGTTCAAGCCTTAGTTCTAGTACCAAGTTGTTAATGCACTGTACCTTAGGATGCTAGTTACCACAAAGAGAACAATAAAGTTTATAATACAGTACGATAAGGTAGAGATAGTGGATGCAGTTAGCGAAAGGGAATTGACTGAATCACTGAAATAGATAGTTCAACGATGTGCACTTAATGCATTATTGCTCTCTTCAATCATGTTGATTTCATAATGTAAATGGATTGAAAAAATCACGGTACATGACAATGGAATAATTGCTATAATATAAGGTTGGTTTCAGAAACACTGTCTCTTTTGTTACAATAAATAATGTTTATTGTGGTAGAAAGTACTCTTTGATTAATCAGGAATTGTGACAAGGTCTATAGCTTTGTGCCTACGTGTGTGACTACTATTGTGGTTGAATCATTAAGCATTTTTTGCCGATGTACCGGTGACTGTGACTTTCACTAACATTATATGCAGCTGATGGCTTACCATACAGGAAAGTTTGAGTAGAAATTTGGTAATCCGTACAGATTAGAGATTTGTTATATTGTCTGAGGTACTAATTCTTCCACCTTCCATTTTTTAATTCAGATTTCATTTACTTTACAGTTATCTTTTTAAGTGTTTCTTATTTTCAAACTCAAAATATGATTCGTGGTACCAAAGTTTTTAGTGACATGATATATACGTAAAATGTAACACTGTTGGTGGATAGCGGCTGACATCTATACAAATCAGCTGCGCCTAGCAATCTGCATTTTGATATTCTAATTAACTGATATCGACCTTCTCCCCTTATCAACGTTAATTGACATATTTACATATTGTACACTGACATATCGTTATAGTCCTTGTCGCCTCCTATAGTTATGATACTGGGACTTGGCTACTTGTTTCACTTTTTTTACGAATACTTGTTTCATACTTAGATATTTACTAGTTAGTAAAAACAAATAACTTGATGTTTTTGGTCCAAATTGGATTCTCAAATGTTCATACACATATTAGTGTCGAGGATCCAACACAGGTTCTTTAGGTAGATTAAAGAGCCTGATTAACATAATTGTCATGATTATATACATCCATGTAAGAAGTTATCATTATTGAGTGATGAAAGATCCTGAAACAAGAATGACTCTTCAATTAGTTGAAGGCACATCTTACCTGAAAACTGTTGCTTGTTCACTGTAGATTTTAATAACAATATATCATTGACTCTTGTTATGATTGTTACCCTTCACCCTTTTTTTTCCAGATTCCTGAACAAAAAAAGTTGGAAATTCTTGAATTGTTCTTTTCACCATACAACCACTGAACTGCAGGATTATTGGTACAAAACTAAAGTTTTGTTGTTTCTTGCCATAGTAATGAGCTTTTGTGCTATATGTTGGAACTTTTATACTAAATATTCTGATTATCTTGCTAATTATAGCTTATTTCTTTCTCTAAATACTCTAGAAAAATTTCGACGGTGGAGAATGCATATCTTCGGTACACACGAAGAAGCCACCTTGCAGCATCAAAAGAAAGCAAAGTCATATACCTAAGTAGTGAGCATGGCAAATAAGATATGGTACATAGATTTGGTATGGTAGAATATGTTTCTGTACATATGCATGATGATGCAATCTCTTGCTGTATATTGTAGTATGATTGATGCCACTACTTGCCATGGATACATAAAAGTAAGTGGTTTTGTGCTTTTGTGACAAGTTAATGGGTGTTTTTCCTGTTCTTTTGCCATCTGCAAAAGTTTTAACTTGTAAAAAATAGCTGATTTATCCACAGAATATTTGGACTAAATGCTCACAGCCTCACCCCCACCCCCACCCCCTACAGTACAAACACATACGGGCACGCACACAGCTATTGCAACCGATTGTTGTTGGTCTAGACATGATTATTGGGCCGGTTTGATTGCGTAACTGGTGGTGAAATTGTTTTCTCATCTAGAAGTACGAAGCCAATCTATTAGAAATTTGGAATCCCTCTTATCAAGTGTAATTTCCAAAGAATATGACACTAATCGGAATATTTACTTACCTAAATTCTCTAACACAATAAAACTTCTCGTCAAAAGTTTGTAGACTAAGGGCCTGTTCCGATTGACTGAACTCAGCTGAGCTGAATTGAACTGAACTGAACTTATTAATTAGTGATTTCTAACTACGGATTAGTGATATTTGATTATTTATTACTATACATATGTGTATATACAAATGTACATATTATTATTAATAATATTATTATTATAATAATAATTATTATTATTATTAATATTTATTGGTTATTATTATTATTATTATTAATTTTGATTATTATTATTATTATTTATTGATTATTGATTATTATTATTATTATTGTTATTATTATTATTATTTATTGATGATTATTATTATTATTTATTGATTATTATTATTAGTATTATTATTTCAATTATTATTATTATTATTATTATTATTATTATTATTTATGGATGATTATTATTATTTATTACTTATTGATTATTATTATTATTATTATTATTATGATTGTTAATATTATTATTATTATTGTTATTGTTAATATTATTATTATTATTATTATTATTGTTGTTATTATTATTATTATTATTATTATTATTATTATTATTATTTATTATTATTAGTATTATTATTTCAATTATTATTATTATTATTTATTGATGATTATTATTATTATTTATTACTTATTGATTATTATTATTATTATTATTATTATTATTGTTGTTGTTGTTGTTGTTGTCGTCGTCGTCGTTGTAATAAGAGCTTATAAGAATGAAATTTGGTTTTATATCATTAGCAATATCATTAGACGTAAATTAAGAGCTGAATTGAACTGAACTGAACTAAATTTCAACGAAAGAGAACAGACCCTAAATAAGATTACACATTTTTTCGAAAAAGGTACTTTATCTGTTCAACCAAACGATTGAAACGAACGCCCGAGCATGTCAAATACTCTGAAGTCAAGGTACCAGTCATAAGACTCGTAAGACTCTACGGCTCTCTAGTCTCTTCAGTCTTGCAGATTATTGGATCAAACTTGTAGCTATTAGTTGGACCAGTTTACTGACTGTACATCTATATTGAGTATTTAAGGTGAT